TAAAATTGTCCAAAATATGCTACACACTAAAATTTCTTCATTAATTTTCAACGTTTTAATATTTTAAATATAAGAAATAAAAAATTGAAATAAGAAGGGGTCCTCCTCTAAACCCGGACAACATTCGTGATATTCAAACAACGTTTTATAAATTATAACGGTGTAATGTGAATAACAAACTAGGTTTTAATTTCGCAGTTCGCAGGGCTCATACGCATGCGCAAATTTTGCAAATATCACACCGTGAGTTCTACATGATATCACTGTGATGAAGCATGTGTATGCACTCAGGATATCACAGCGTAATAAAAAAAATCACGTTGTGATATCATCATGACTTCACCAGGAAATCCCGATTGTTGTCCGGTGGGTTTACGTTAAATATTATTTATTGAAAAAAAATTACAAACAGTATACTGTTGCTAGTTTATTAATATTTTAGAATTATTTATTATTGAATATGTCCCCCTTTTGGCCCTTATTAAAGCTTCAACTCGTTTTGGAATAGAATTAATCAATGTTTTGCAATTTTCCTTTATTTTGTCATCTCAAAACCATACTTGAATGACAGCCTCAATCATCTTAGTTTTTGTTTCCCACAAATTCTCAATAAGATTAATGTCCGGTTAGATTACAGGCCAGTCTAGAAGGGTTAACTTTTTGTCCTAGTGTAAATTAGTCGCAATAACCGGCAAAATGACTGACATTAGCAATTACTTAATGCAGAATGATAGGTTATGGGATATGTCAAAAAAACTGTCAAAATTGTCACAGCAGTGTTCGAAGTTAAAATAATATAGAAATTCCTTACGTTCACATTAATTCGCACAATACTGTATATTATATAATACTGGGCAACACTGTACAAAATACAAAATATCCTACGGACTGCGCCATGAAGTAAATAATACCAGAATAGGTTGAAGGATTTATTGAAATAAATAGCATGTATTTAGTAGGCTTATGTAGGTATCTTGACTAGCATGGGTGGTAGGTGCATTTGTAGTGGGGATTTATTAATTAGTGTTGCCTAGTATTATGTTTACTTATGAAACCTGCAACACAAGTAAGTTAGCGTTAAAAGGCTGTTTCTGGTCACAAATTTTTACTCCCCCAAAAAGATAAAACATAAAAGAAAAAAATTTAGAGGAACAATTATTTGTGAGAACCAACAGAATTTTTGGAGAAAAACTTATTTTAAATATGAATTTTCCAGTTTTTCAATCGCAAGATCAGAAGAAAAAGTAGCAAGCCGATCGAGAATAGAAGTAAAAAAAAAGAGAATGAAGAGCCTAAAATTGAAGAATCTGATTTGAAAAAAAGAATAGACAAAGTAATTTAATTACATGCCAAAAAAAATTTACAAAAAAAATACATTTTTCATTTTATAATTTTACTTATTTATACCTACCTACATGGTAAAAAAAATTGGAACCGAAAAAAACCGTATGGGCCGAAAAGATTGGTCCGAACCGGACAGAAATATTTGGAACCGGACAGGAACAGTTATTTCATTTGGGTCCGGGTCCCTGGTTTTATTGCAAAATTAATAATATGAAATAAGGTAATTTTTATTAAAAAGGAGAAATATTAATATGCTAATGCTATGGGTGTGAATAAAAAATATGATTAATTTTATAATTTACAATTTATTTTTATTTACCATACAGACATAAAATAATGATGTGCATAAATCATTATAATAACAAATCAAATACAAAAGACTTTTGCTATTGGAAAAGTCAATATAAGTAAATAATATATATTATTTATATATTATATTATAATATATAATTATTATATAAATAAAGACAAATTCTGCACATGAAGAAACTTAAGTTATTAAAAGTGTACAACTGGACCATATTTGTTAGATTCTCTCTGGAGAAGTCTATACAAAACATAAGTAGCACTATTGATATTAATAAATATTTATTGCATAAATACTAAACTGGCTATCATAATTTTAGGTATTCTATGTTATATCTGATCTAACATCGAACTATATTATGTTTTAATAGTATACATTAAAATAAAGCTTTACCTGAATTTTGAGTGATTATACCATATCTAAAAATCTAAAAATGCCAATCTCACATCACTTTTACTTAATAATAAAGTTATATAAATGTAATTTTTACAGAGATATGAAAAAGAACGTGCCATTCAGGGTGATACCATACCAAAAACACATCAAAATGCATAATTTTGTTTAAATTTAGTATCTGGGATGACATAAGTGGTCGTCATAAATTTTGGAAGGCACTTACTACTTCATTTTTGAACACATTAAGCCTAGTTATAAATACACCGTTCACCAAACCAATGTAATCTACAAATTAGCCTTTATCGTATAAAAATTTTGATTTACATTCTAAAATATGTTAATTTTAAATTCTATAGATCAATTGGTCTGGATGGCTGTGTATAGAAAAAAATATAAAACAGATCCGAGACAATTTGCATTTACACAAACACTCAAAATTAGAAAGTTCAAAGGCCACTTTTTTGAAAAATATTATCACGTCATGACATGCATAAAAGTCAAACAACAGTGTGGTGCACCCTTGAATGGCAGGAAGGCATATAATTTTCATTTTTAAATTGTAATAATTTCTTTCTACATTTACAAGATTCTTTATATAAATTTTGTACATTATTTCATATCCTAATACCTAAACGAATCACAAAAATATTTTTTAGTTGGCTTTGTGATTTTACACTATCTGAAAGAATAAAATGTCTGTATTAGCGTTTTTTACTCATCGTATATGTGCTACTTCTGTGTGAACATGGTTTAGGTGTATCGCAGCACGGATATCCTTTATTTTGTCTTTAGTTGCACTACACTTTTATTTTGTACATACACAACACCTAAATATTCACTATATTTTTTATTGTTACTACATCATAACATATATGATACATTTGGCATTGCTACATTTCTTATGGAAAATTTACTCCAAACATAAATCCTCACCAATACCAAACTAAAAGTAAACAGTCTTTTAAAAACTGACGTAATATATGTAGGTATTTGGAAGAAATGCATAAAACAGAAAAAATAAAAAGTCGTGTCTACCATCAGTTGTTTTTTCTTAATATTAATCTATTAAACAGAAACCTTAATCTATTTGAGAGTACATCAATTCTATCCGTTCTAACATTCATGTTTTTATTTTTTCTGTTTGTATCTTTTCCTGCACATTTCCATTTTGCGACGTCTGTGAACAATTTTGATTATAAACGTTTTCAGCAATGGAAAGGATATGTCCAGGAAAACGGATTAATTGTTTGAAGCATTGCAAAATTAATTTAAGCAATACAAGTACATTAAATACCTATACATCTGATGTAATTACAATTCAAACTAAATAAATAAAAAATAATTTATAGAGACCAGTTAAATTGTATATAAATACTGATAATCACTGACCTTTTTAAGTTTTTAATTTAATTAAAAGGATTCTTTTTCACTATAGTTTTGAAGACTAAAGCGTGAAACTTACATTGAAAGTTATGGCTATGTGATAATTATCGCTTTAGTCTTATATAGCGAAAATAAATCCTAAATCTGGCTAGAAAATTAAAGAGGAATATTGCACTGACAGGTTACAGTGTTGGGAGCTAATGTAAATTGTAAATTGTTTCATATTATACACACATACAATAATGGAGGATTAAATATTTTTTTTTAAATTTGTACATAATATGTTTACTATACTTTAAAACTATGAATCGACTTTGGTGTATTTTATATAATAAAATAAACATCCTTTCGGCGTAACACGAGAATTTTTCTTAAGCACGTCAACGCAAATTAAGTATTTAAATAATATGTATTAAATACCAAGTATAAAGTCAAATAAAACGAATAAAGAAAACTGTACACTAAAATAAAAATATACTAAAACTTAAACTATAAATTTTCAAGTGAACTACAAAGTAATTTTTAAAACTTATTTACACTACTCATTTCCAAAACTTGCCTAAATCTATTTAAACGAATTTGGTTATAAAATTTAAATTTTATATACAATATAACCGTGCTTTTTGATAAAATTTTTAGACAATACAAAATTTTTATATACACTTAATAAAAGTCTAAATTAAAATTACTTTAATGTAAGTCCATAAGTCCATAATAATTATCACAGATATTTTCCAAAACAAAATTTAAGAAGTCAAAATTGTTTATTTATCGGATAGATCTATGGGTGTTCTAGAAGTACTACCTACTTAAGATTTGCTCGGAAAATAATTTTATATTTTGTTTTGTTCTTATCCGATTTTCTAATTTGTAATTCACTTGAGCCACATAATAAAATTTGAATAAAATTTGTGAACGTGTACAGGTGCCCGGTAAAATAACTATTTAGAATATCGTCTTATTGCATGACTTTGGGCCCGATTTTTATTTTCAATACAGCAACGTCGGAATCATAGTGACAATTAAGAGAAAGCCTGGCTTTAAAATCATAGATATGAACATAGATACTAATCATGTTGTTCCGAATGACAGATTGTCGTTAAGCAAATGATCGGGAATGTTGATATCTAAAATGTTACTCTATTTTCTAGAGTTTTTTTGCAATTACTATATTTTCCTATACATATATATATATGTAGGTATATATTTATTTAGGAATTTTTACTGTACAGTAGTACTACATAGTAAAAACAAATGTTGTTTTTGATGTATACTTAATTACTTTCCCTGCTAATGTGATATAATTCTAAAGGTAAATCTAATTTTGGATTTAGAACAATTAGTATACATATACATAACAGTCTTTTATAGAACTGGCCGAAACTTTGGCTTCTAGATAAATTATATAAAATTGTCCAAAATATGCTACACACTAAAATTTCTTCATTAATTTTCAACGTTTTAATATTTTAAATATAAGAAATAAAAAATTGAAATAAGAAGGGGTCCTCCTCTAAAAACCTAACAACTAATAATAATTTATCACATTACAATGTAGCTGGGTTTCGTTTCATTCGCCCCGACATTCTGCCATCGGTTCCATTTTGATTGTCGCCATGGTGTCCTTTGCGTGAGGTGTGGAAGCGTGCATCGGCTTGACGAGGTCGTCGATATCCTCTTGGAAGAGGTTCTCCGGCCTGGGCGATGTAAAGGACCTGGCCGGCTTGTAAGTCATGCCCGAAACGCCGATGCTGCTCATGTCCATGTTACTCAGGTTCGAGCCGATGTTCATGTTGATCGCCGGCTCCATGTTGCTCTGAGCCGTCAAGCCTAAGGGCGACGAAATCGGACTGTCCAGTCCGGATTCGGCCGGACTTATCCGAAGATCTTGGATGCTGCCTGCCGGGCTGCTCATGCTGCGCATTGAAGTTATGTGCGACATGCTCATCGGAGGGATGCCGTTTGATGGCATTGATACGTTTCCGCAGTGACCTAAAGAAACACAAATACCTAATCAAAACAAAGTTTTTCAATAAGTATTCATAAAGTCAATTTTATGATGTGTATATAAAGCTTTTATGCTGTATAATTATAGCTTTTGCTTTTTTCTTAAATTGTAGGTATATTTATTTGTATGTTTTCAAAATTATCCAAGGTATTGGTATTTTAACCCTTTTAAGCTTTGTGGTATCACGGTAAAACCACCTTTCTTAAATATACTGAGGATGCGGCGAAGTAGTTTCAACACGATACCACTTATTAATAAATTTAGCTGCACACTCCCAACAAAAAAATTTAACATGGAGATTCTGGCGCTCAGGAAACCACAGTGCTCTGCCCTTTCACCTCTATCAGTGATCTTCATGATTTTTTCGTGCCGCAAGTGATCGTCTTCAAAAGTTAATTTTGGAAAAAATGAGCGGTAAGTACGTTTGGTTATTAAATATATCATGTATATCATATATTATTTAGTTAGTAGATATATCATTATAATGAAGCATATTTATTAAAATTTTCATTATAAGCGTTTTATTTGGTTTGTACGAGTAATTTCTTAGAAAATTCTAGTGATTTCAAATGACACCACTAAACAGCAACCACCAGAATATTCTGAAAAAGTAATTCATTTAATAATTTTCACGGAAAGATCTGAACAGAGGTGTATGGACTAAACCTTTTTGAATTGCCATTGCGAATGGATCAGTAGGGGATGGCACTAACCAACTCAAAAAGGGCAGGCCCAGTTCAGAACATATGTTCTGAATTGGGCATATGTTACAAATAATTTCAAGAAAAATATAAACTTGTAAAGAAGGCGGCACACATACTCATTCATGGAAATTCCCCAGGTGTGTAGCCCAAAATAAAGTCAGCACAAAGCATGCTAATTGAGGATCCTCAATAGCTCGAGCTACCCTGTAAGGTGCAGTTTTTGAAAAAATCATTATTTTTAGGATGGAGAAATCTTTGCTACACACTTTATCAAGAAAGTTTTTGTAAGAAATGTAAAAATAAAAAAAATGCGAGATTTCATTATAAGTTTCTTCTCAAAATATTTTTTGCCGTTCCTGCTGTTTTAAACTGAAATCCAAAAATACTGCGGTTTACAACGGAATTTACTCATAAACTGCTCAAATTTTATTCACATGGTCATCAACAGTAATACAAAATTAGTGAATTAAAATGTAAGATGTTAACTTAAAAAATAGGTATTAAATCAAAGCTCAGGACGAGATCATAAAGGCTATAAAATCTATCTGATAGGGAACTGTCATTTCTAGACAAACTGCGTTTTGAAACAAACAAACTAGCACTTAAAACTGCGGTTCGAAAAATATCACGATTTGATTGGAACGAGTTACCGGAAACATTCCCGGAAACTTTCCCTGTTTTTTATTTAAATGTCAATTGTTTAACAGCTGATTTGCGAAATTAAGGCCAATAAACTGAATAAGAAAAAGTTAATTTGTGTTAATTTAAAGAGGAAAAGTTTGTTTGTCATCACAATTCATAAATCGTTTGCAAAGAACCCTTCGCATAAAAGCCTTTTTTTAAAAGGTAGGTAAACAAAATAAGAACAATAAACAAAGTTAAAATGATTCTAACGTTTTTGTTGTTTATTTATAGGTACAGTATAATGCCAAGAAAAAAATCTTATATTTGGAATTATTACAAAATAGTGCAAAAAAAAGACCATGCTCAATGCAAGTTTTGTAAAAAAAATATATGTCGTTAATGCAAGTACGAGAGGCTGGTAATATCATAATTCTTTCAGGTGGTTGGACAGATGTCAATGGGGTGGCACTAATAAATAAAATAATTATTGTAGCAACTCCAGAGCCTGTATTTTTTAAAATGATAACCTCAGGCTCACTCAAAAGTGTTGATTTTATTTTGTAGGTATAATTTAAATTGTTGTCAAAAAATAGTCAAATAATTTTGTTATTAAGTTACTTCACTTTATATCTACTGCTTGGTGGTACTCTGGTTAAAACAGTCCCCAATTTTTAAAAACAAAAAAAATGTTTGAATACTTTTGGTACCTACTTCTTACGCGACTTTAAGTTGATTTTTTGGTTGCCTTGAAATTTCAATAAAAAAACCTGACGGGAGTTAACATGTTAATAATAGATTTAGATTTGAAAAGTCAAACATGGGATTATTTTTTGTGTAGCTATCTACTTAAAATAACTCGAGTTATTATAGGGAATTCCCTTATCGTATGGTGGCGTTAGTGCGCCATTTTCTGGACACCATAACATTGTGGGTATAGTTTATTTTGAGATTTTTTATACAAAATTATTTCTTTTTATATTTTGCTACCTTATCATAACTTTATGGACAGGTTAACTGTAGTTGATATTTTTTATTATTGAGTGCTCCCCAACCAAGATTACGACCTGAATTAATGAATAAACTTATTTTTCCTGAGTATAACTACAAATATTATTGAATTTTAAATGTTAAGATTTATGACATTTGTTTACGGTTTACATCCCTACAATCTTAAGAAACAGTACCAACTTACCGGCAAGTGCTAAAGAGTTGACCAAACTGGCAACAGGATTAGTATCATGCGCAGAGCTCTGGTTGTGCGCAGCGGCTACCATACTGCACATCTGCTGTCTTAAACCTTGCGCGACGGCAGCCACCGCAGCTGCGGCGGCTGCCCCAGGAGAAACATTCGGGTCTGATCCGTTACTGCATGAATTACTTTGATAGCTCTGTATTGTTACGCCATCCTGCAACAAAAATAATCATTACTCTCTATAGAATTTTCATATCATTGCGTTTTAATGCGGTTCTGTTAAATTACATTTAAATTGAATATTGGTTAAATTTATTTAAGTTACGAATAATAAAAATGTAGGTAATTCTGAAAATAACTTAAATGTTCGCTGAAATGAACATAAAATTTAATTCTGCTGCGGCTGTAAAATTATATTGGATAAAAAGGTGTTTTTAATTTATTACACAGAAAATTAAATTAAAGAATTTTTACATTGAATTTTATGTCCATAAACTACAGTGTGTGCTAAAAATGTTAGTTCTAAAACAGCCCTGTAGGTATTTATTTTAGATCTGAGGCTTTCATGTCCGCAATTATTAGAGAAAACTGCAATTTCGGGTTTAGACCGTGTTTAAGCATTGTTAGTATACAATGTTTCCTTTTTCTATAGTATCATCCTTTGTTACTAGACATCTTCAAGGACTAAACTAAAACCTAAACCCAAAAATGCAGTTTTTTTTAGTCCTGTTCCTGTATACCTATGTATCTACGTTTTACATTTTTACATACATATGTTAAGGTTAATTTGGCCTTGTAAAGTAATAGTATTTATATTGTTAACCTAGGTAGTGAATTATATTATTTTAATACGAAAGATTATTATAACGGAACACATAATATAACAAGGATTATACTATAAGTCAGCACCGTACTTTATGTACTTTATTAATAGAAATTAGAAATATAGCTACGAATTAACCTCTCTTTTCACTGATATTCGTGTTAAATAACAGAAAATATCCAAATTCAATAAAAAAAGTTAATGAAATTCACTCACAATCGACGAAAGAAATTTTTTTTTATTGTATATTGACAAAATATTATTAGTTTCTTGTTAAAAAATCTAGAACCTTTTTGATAAAATAATTTTCAAAAAAACATACCAAGCTATATTTGGTTTTATAAGCTTGGTAGTATTTGTAAAGGCCAAAATGTCCCAGTTAAAATACAACAACATTTTTTTTATTCAATAAAAGTTTATTTATATCGACTATTTCCCTCGTCTTAATTTTCACTAATCACAAACGCGCAATTTTGAATTACAAATGGTTTCTAGGTGAAAAAACTGTGTGACAGCACCTGTCAGCAGTTTTTTCGAGTTTACCCGCGGCAAAACTTGACAGCTGTTGTCACCAAAAATTGCAATTTATATTTTAATTGTTAATTGTTACTCATGAAATAGTCTTGTCAAATACCATTCGGGCATCTAATTTTTCCTGTGAAAAAAATCGAAAAAACACAATGCTAAGTAATATTTTTTAACAAAAAGCATTCGTGCAGGTGCAAAAATCCTCCTCTTCGACTCGGATTTTTGTTGCCACCAGCACTCATGCTTTTTGTTAAAATATTACTTAGCAACGTGTTTTTTCGATTCTTTTCGGAAAAATTAAATGCCCTTATGATATTACTTACGAGTAAATAGCCCATTTTATAAGGGACATTGGTGTGTCCAATTTAAAATTTAAAATTTCAAGCACAAATTTTACAAATCATCTCTGTATCAAATTATCTTACCTCCGGCGGAGAAATGTTATTCTCCAGGTCCCTTAGCTTGTCCCACAGTTGCGCGCTATTATTGCGCTGCTGTTGTTGCTGTTGCTGTTTGTACGATCCCAAACTGTTAGTAGAGTGGGTACTTACGTGCAATCTGGGATAATTCATGTTCATGTGCGACTCGTCCTTGATCTGGTGCGAATCTCGGAACACGACAGCCCTTATAACACCGCGGATATGCTCGTCCGGCCATACACCCAAAAGAATGCGCTGTGGTCGGCCTCTGCCCTTTGGTCGCAGATCTACAAAAACACAAAACGTGTTAGAAAATTACAACATTTATGAATCATTTGAAACGAATTCCAACTTCTTAAAAAATAATCTTTTTTTTGTCTACTGTCTTCTCATGTCATGTTGATATATTATTAAGGTTATCAAGATGATTTTATGTTACTTTCTAAAGAGGAAATATAAAAATGAAAGTATCAATTTGAATTGAATTTGTTACCTACATGAAAAAGTGTCCAAAAACCAAAACATTAAATTTACTTATTCCAAATAATGATATACCAATTTTTAATTTTGTGACCTATTGGTTTCTCATTTCTGTGGTAATATGTACAAGAGGTTCTATTCCAACCTTCTTCTACCCATATAGTAAACCACTTCACTTATTCTTTTCCGGATTGCCATGTCCATGTAAATACGGGTGCTGAATCTCGCCTTCTTATACATTATATTTTTTATAAACTTCCCAGCAAACATTAAATCGTCGGCCGATGATCGGATAAATGTTGGCAATTGATTATATCTTTTAGACAACGTCGGTTATACGTCAAACCAACATTGTTTTAAATTCGTAGTTTCCCGGAATTTCACCGATAGTCGGTTAAATGTCTCAAAATGATTATCAGCATGCTAACGCGTTATAACGTCGGCAAAACGTTGGGACTACATGGTGTTTCCAGATTAATAAAGTTTTAAATGTTAATTATTGTTTAAATGTTTTATTTGCTGCTTACGCAAGCTCGCTTACTTTAAACACAGATGAAATACAAATATTCAGTTGGATATGTGCGTATACAGAAACACGGTTTATCATAATTGCAAGATCATCAGATGATTCTAGCGATGTTTTCCATTAATTAAGGTTCGTCCTCGCTTTTCGACGTTGGTCTGACGCATAAATTCTACGTTATCCTAAGAAATTGTAATACTGATCGGCCAAACGTCGCGGCGCGTCGGCAAGATACGTAGGGCAATGATGTTCCATTGATTTGGGTCCGACCTCTTTTATATATTATAATTGGAAGATCATCTACCGATGTTTCCCATTGACCTCTTTCTCTCCGATGTTAGACCGACGCATATATTTTTTTATTAATATTATTTTAATACTGATCGGCCAAACGTCGACAAAATACGTCGGGCAATCTTCATCGCGTGATCATTGCCGATGTTTCCTATTGATTGGAGTTTGACGTGTGTTTTTGTCATCGGGCCCGAGTTAAAATACATCTGCATGCGTTTGGCCATAAGTTAGTCAACTTACCAACGTTTGCTGGATTAATTAACAATTGTTATGTTATTTAAAAATAAATCCATCTAGTTTTATTATTAGCTTCTACTTTATTTTTAAATCTATAGAAAAGAAATGATTTCAATAGGAAAAATGTACCTCACTTACTTTTGATGAATGTCAAATTAATATTCTAGTGGTAGGTGATATTTTTCGAGAAGGTTGGAATCTCGACTCAAAATGAAAATTATACAATATAATAATAATATAGTATGTTTTAAAATTCGAAAACCAATACTGAAGGAGTGGCTAAGAAAATATGCTATTTAGAGACAAATATTTTAGTCGGTTTAAAAGTTTAACGTTTCTAAAACTAATTGTAATATTTATTTTCTCTCCGAAATTTTTGTATAGGACCGAATCTGTTCCTTTACCACTCTTGCTATCAAATTTTAACAAATGTATATGCCTAGATAAATAAAAAACGCAGTTTTCGGTTGACTCACCCGAACCTCCATCAGCAGAGGGTCCTAACATGTTGTGCACACGGTTGGCGTATAGAACGAACGTCGGATATGGGATGTCATATTTTCTAGCAGCCTGTGACAATGACAATCCCTCCTTAAGCACGGAAAAGATCGCCTCGGCCATGGTTTCTGGTCGCCAGGACTTCAAGGGACCGCGTTCGCGAAAACGCAAGTTGTGCACCAAGCTCTGGTTTGTGTTCCAGCATTTCTGCCACATGGACTGTAGCTGGTACTGGTAGCTATCGGCTGAAATAGACGAAAAATATAATGAATTAGTATTTAAGAAGCGAACAAACTAAAAGGGACTTTGTGGCGGTTCCAAGCAGTTTTTAACATTTACGGTACAACATTGTCCACAAGTCGTTTATAAAGAAAAAAAGATAAAAATGCTAATTTTGAGTTAAATTAGCTTAAAACACTAAATAAACCACTGTTAGACTATGAAAATAATTATCATTCAAATTTCAAAATATTGAAAATAAACACTTTAAGGGTAAACTTTTATTCTTTTAGAAAAATTTTACAAGGATTAGGATTAGGATTAGTTAAATGATCTCAGAGACCTATTAAAATAAGCTTCTGAATTACTTGATTCCAGGTTGAAAAAAAAATTCACTAGATGAAGAAACCAAAATTACCTTTTACCGTACAAGGGAAAAGGGTCTGCTACCTTTCTTCTCTCAAGAAGACAATCAAGTATTGTGTCACTGTACTAGAGGACTCCTGTAAAACATGGGTCTTTCTGGATATGTTCAAGAATATTGGCGCCTATTTATTTACATCTCAAGGTTAAGTCTGAAAAGTGTCCTTCTACACAATCGGGACAAATGTGGTTCAATGCTGATTGCTCACTCAACGAAAATCAGAGAAGAACATAACACCATAGCTTTGGTCTTGGGGAGAAGATAAGTATCATAAACATCAATAGGTGACAATGATGTGTGGACTTAAAACTTTCTGCTTGAAGAGAAAAGTGGCTACACCAAATTTCCTTGCTTCTTGGCGCTTTGTGATACCAGAGACAAAACACACCACTAAAGAATGTCATAAACAACCCCTTAGTTGAAAGAGAAAATCATCTTTCCTCCACTGCATATCAAGCTAGGATAAGAGCGGATTCTGTTCGTGATAGTTGGGAAAACCTTAAAGCAGAAATAAAACAACTCATTAAGAATCCTGCCTTGCCGTTAATTCGATGAGGCTGAGCGAAAAGCCTGGACTTCATTTATTGCAGCTGTAGAAAATTTTCTGGGAAAACGCATGTTGAACTGGTAAACGAGATGCTTGACATTTTCAAATCCCTTGGATGTAACATGAGTAATAAGGTGAACTATTTACACAGCCATTTAGGAGACATGAGTGAGGAACAAGTGTGAAAGATTTTACCAGGATATTAAAACTATGGAGAACCGCTTCCAAGGAAAATGTGATCAGCACATGATGGCAGATTACTGCTGGAGTTTAAAAGGGGATTGTTCCAAAATACATTCAAGAAAGTCGCGGAAAAGAACCTTCAGTGACGTCAGTGTTCAGTGTAGTTGGTCTCATCGATGACTGTTTCGTCTATCTTTGTATATAATACTAGCGGACCAATTATGAATCCAAACCATCCAGGGTCCCACTCAAACGCACACAAAAAATTTCATCATAATCGGTCCAGCCGTTTAGGAGGAGTTCAGTGACATGCACATCTACAGAAGAATTATAAATATAAAGATAGTATAATATAATTATATATTTGTTTAATATAATAATAAACATTACATTTGATTTGATCCATGATCGATAAATTTGAGCTAATAAGTAGAAACAAATGCCATATTTGAATTTAGGGAATCATTTAAAATACCCCAGCACCAAAATAGCTGTGGGCCTGTGATATTTGCATGCGGAACATTTTTTAAGTTACGCCAAAGAAGTATAGCTTTTAAGGCATCGGTTTTTTTAATATTTAGATTTTCTTTAACTAAACATGTTTGGTTTTTTGGCAAAATATACCTAACCAATTAATTAATTTACAAATGTTTTATACATATTTTTTTAAAGAACTTTTATTTACTTATTTAGTTTATCAAGTCCTTTAGATATTATGTATATTTGCATATTTGAATTATGAATGATAACTAAACAAAATCCTGAAAAATAAGTAAATTGTTAAAACAAACAAAAATCATTGTAGGAACACGATAAATATGCATGTAAATAAAAATAAAACAAACAATATTACCAATTTGTCGAGCAACCTGAAACATAGAAAACAAAAATTACGAGTAAGGAGTTTTAAGTTACGAAGTGTGTATACCTATTTGTTTATGAGTTTTTCACAATCGCTGTTATAAAAAAATGTTTTAAATTGGCGTCTAATTAATTTTAGGTTTATTGTGCATAATAAAATCTCGAAAATAATTAGAATGATTGATAGGATCAATGCTGGATTAACCAATAGGCCAACCTAGGCCATGGCCTAGGGCGCCGCGAAGCCAATAGGCGCCCAGGCAGAAGGCTCATTTTTTTTAAGTAGGCGGAATATTAAAATTAATCAATTAAAATAAATAAATATTTTATGAAAAACATTGTTTTAAATAGCAAAGACTCCAAGTTAGTCATATGGTCAAAACTAATTAAGAAGAAAAACATTACTTCAATATTCCCCAATATTATTATTACTATTATAATAATAGTATTGTGGATTTTGTACAGGAGAAAGATCTTTTTCTTTTTTAAAAAGAATAACAACATTTTAACGAAGTTGCCTAGTAGACTGCTCTTCTATAGAAGCAGAAGAAGCAAATAAAATAAATTTTAAAAATATTCCTTTTCCGATTTTAAATGCAGAAAAATAAAATTGTAAATCGTCGTTGATGATGCAAAAGGTCGTGTCACTTGGACGCCTTTCTGCAGAAAAGAAATAACATACACAAAAAATCGTGAAATATGAGTTAATTATCTCGATTTTTTTTATTTTTGTGGGTTGATTCCCTTGTGCAGAAAGGCGTCAAAGTGACCTTTTGCAGTATCAAGGACGAAATGTTATAGATAAAATTCTGTTTAAGGTAGTTGTCGTGCTGTAAGCATACCATCGGAAATTTTAAATTTTTGTATACTTATTAATGACATGACAATACATACAATATATCCTTAAAATTTGAAGTCGATTGACCGTCTATAACCCGAGATAAATTCAATTAAAAATTGGATAATTAACATGGATTGTATAGGCTTTCTGTAGTTCTGTACCAGTTTCTTAGTTATACAGAAAAAACTAACTGTCAGAAGCTTTCAAAAAACTAACACTGTTTTAATGTCATTTTGCTGAGTTTAAAAAAAATAATTAAAAAGTTTTGACCGTCCAATTATTTATAAATAACCGTTTAAAGTTCAACAATTTGTAAAAAGTATACATCACTAGTGTCAGATAAAAACAACTTGGCAAGGCTGTACGCGAGTATAGATATTATTTCCGCAGTAAATTCAAACGGACTGATTCAGTCTCCAATATATATATTGGTTGAGCATAAGCGACGTTGCCGGATTAAAACTTAAAAAATATTTAAAAGTATTACGTAAAGGTAACGTCTCCAGGGTACAGTCTTGCGAACAAATTATGAATCACTTAGCTACAAGCTCTTATACTTTTACGGTGCGTATAATCTAAAAAATTTTGACAATATTGTACCACGACAACTACCTTAAGGTTATTTAAAAATTGTAAAAATTAAGTTAGTTCTTCATTGTTTTGTTTTTCTATATACAATACAATTACTTTTTTTATTTTATTGTAATTTTTTTTATAAAACCCTACTGTCAGCTAACATGTATTGTGTTATAATATAAATTAGTACCTAAAATTAATATAACAGTTATATTAATTTTAGGTACTAATTGGGCTGTACTTATAGGCGCCATTATTATTGGCCTAGGGCGACAAATTGTCTTAATCCGGCCCTGGATAGGATGTATAATGTATTTAACAATTAAAATTTATGAATAAAATAACAGTTCTTATCATCTTAACTCGAATGCTATTGTTTTAGTTTTACGATTGTTATAAAAAACATATTTTAAAACAGTAATATGTTCAATCGGTTTTATTATAAATTAAGTATTTATTGTTAAAAATGGCGTAAAGGCAAAGTTTATTTCTCAAATAAACTATTGTGTTTTATCATCCAATACAAAGCAATGTGTTTGCGGCAATAAAATAAATTGTTATATTTAATTTGTTGATTAAATTTCTTAAAATAGGTTTTATTGATCTAATGTTTTCTTTTAAAATTTAAACCCGTGTAGAAAAATAGCTTTTATCGATAAATGTTATGTTAATGCATAATAAATGGTTTTTTTCACTAATTATTCAATTAAAACTTAATTCATTTTAATTGGAATGGATTAAATAAAATAGCCTAATTAAAGTTAATAGGTCTTTATTAAGAATTTTTTATAAACATCGCAAAACGTTGGGAATTATTGCTTTTACACTCTGTGTATTACACAAATCAAAAATTTTATATGAAATGTACCTACCTAATAATTAATAATATCATACAATAATTTAAAAAATCTAAATTGCCAAAAATATAAAAAAAATAGGATTCGTCAAACATCTATAAAACATAATATTATAGATATTAATTTAGTAAAACAAATACAAAATTATTAATCATCTTAAACAAAACAAAATAAAGTTTTACATGCATGTCATAAAAAGCATTAGAGATATTAAATAAACTTAACTAACATAGCGCGTATGTTTAAATAAATTTATTTTCCAAGAATTAGGCTCGGAATTTAACGTCCGTTATAGTAAATTACAAATACAACAAAATTATAATCTAAGGGAATGAAGGAAGTATATTTTTCGTAACTAAAAGAATCTTTATTTTTGCAATGTATGCAATAATTTTTTTTTAGTTAAACAGCATTAAACTACATAACAATATCCAATTTAAAAACGGCCATAAAATTATCACCATAAAACTACAACATTGTAATTAAATAACGCGATTTTTAAAGATTTTTGTTTTTTTTATTTACATTTAACATTATTATAAAACAACAATATTAAAGGCATTTATTGCTTTTGTAGACATTAGTCTTAAACAAATATCAAAAATAATTATTGTTAATATCAAATTTATGCGTGTATACGTCAGTAAGATTATTGTTGTCGTCATTGGAATATGTATAGTAATAATAATAACTACAATAAAAATATTTACAATTTCGCACCTTAAAACATTATATTCTTAAATGGATTTAAGGATTTATATTATTATAAATTTAGTTAACTTGTGGGTATAAAGAATAATTGTTGATGGCTTTATGTTATTGACCTACAAAGTTTAATATTTATAACTGTTCTTTAAATTAAAACGTTTTATACACTGTAGGTATATAAAAACACTTTTATTTGCGGGTTTAGAAGAAAAATTGTAAAACTAGAATTTATAAAATTATTTTTGATTGATTGTTTTTAATAACCATGTGCAACAAAATTTTATAGCTGGGTTTGGACCAGAAATGAATACATGTTTCGATATTTTTTATAATAGCTTTATGTATAAATTTTTTTAATTTTGAAAATCTGATCTAATTTTTTTTAACGCACTGTGGTCAAAATCCCCAAAAACCTGGCGAAAAGTCATAAAGCAGTGAAATCTTAATTTTTTTATAAACAAAATTATAAAAAAGTTATTCCTATAGGCGCTTTTGAAACTGCATTTGCAGTTTGTTCAAATTGTTTATTCGGAGCTGTTAAAATTATTTTTCTTTAAATTCCATGTAAATTCCAATTGAAGTTCTAGTTATTGTTGTACATCCTAAAAATAGTTTTTTGCCTCCGAGGCCCGCAATGTTTTTAAGCTATTTATATGAAGCAAAGTGTCCTTTAAAAGAATTTTAAAAATTAATTTTACGCCAGCCCGACTTAAGTTTTACTAGATCAAGTCCACAGAACATGTTCTATGATCAAGTCCAAATTCAAACATATTTTAATAAAAATTAAAACATTCAGGAAAATTCATTAACATCAGTCGTTAACGTTAACCACTAGAATCAGTGGTTATCGGGCAATCCGGCCAAGCAGGCCGAATAAATATAACGATAACCACTGATTCTAGTGGCTAACATAAGTCGTTAACGTTAGCCACTAGAATCAGTGGTTATCGGCCAATACGACCAATCAGGTCGATTAAATATAACGATAACCACTAATTCTAGTGGCTAAAGTTAACGTCTCATGTTAGTGAATTGGCCTGAGTGTCTCGAAATCTAAAGCCAATAGGAATAATCTAATACTAGTATTACAGCTGCATTCATTTTTACTGGTTTCAACCCAGCTATTTATTTTTGTTGCCTAGTGTAATTTGTAATTAGCATTTAAAAATGCATTTTTTATGTAAAAGCAATCGCAAATCTATTTTTTGTCATAAAGCTAAAACTAAAAATAAAAAAATTATTATTATTTTACATAATGTTTATATGTATATATATTTAATTCCATTATATATTTAATTATTTTTATCTCATTTAGCGCTTTAAAAACAGGTAGTCCTAATGTACTAATGGAATATTCCATATGGTAAGTACCAAATATTTTTATTGTAGCTTTACATTTAGTTTTAGTTTAATCCTAGACCGTTATTTTCGTAGTAAAGCGAAACGATGCTGTGCTTTTTGCAAAAGGCCCACCACCAGCGAAAGCCGCTTAATCCCGTAAACATGAATTCAGGATCGCGAGTTCTGCGAAGTTTCTGCACGAAGTCGAGGACCGAGGCCAAGGACTTTTTCGTGCGCCTGTTGTAAGGCGACAGAGAAACCTCGCAGCAAAATTCCAAAACGGCCGACTCTTCGCTGTGGTTGAGCCCGGCTTCTTCGAGCACGGCCATGCGTTTGCTTTTGCCTAAAATGTTATCGTACAGGGTTCCTTTCGGTATGCCGTATCGAGAGGAGGCCTGCGTGAAACGCATCCTCTGGTTCACGACGGCGTCGATTGCTTCTTTCAGTTGATCTTGCGTCCAGGTCGGCGTTTTTAGTTTTAATAAAGTCGGGTAGTCTGAGCGGAAAAAACAAAAAAAAAACGTGCAAGGTTAAAACGAAAAAGTCATGCGCAAACGGAAAACTTAGGTCATTAATTAAAGGCTACTGTACTTAGTGTTACAAATAAAAGAATCGGCCAATCACTGATAACAAATAATTCCTGTCCCATATTCCATATATATGTATTATAACCAATTAACTACTTCAGTGTCAAGCGTTGACGACAATTAAGTTTATTTAATTTATAGACCGCTTGAAGATAAATAAAATTATACACATTTTTAAATTTGCAATTTTATGGCGAACGTATTTTCATTTACAACACTATACTGCATAAATTTGTTAATGCAGGTGGATATTGTAGAGTATGTCATATAAAATATTAAAAGTTTTGTAAGTTTGCCAAGGTAGAGAAAGAAAACGATTGCTTTAAATTTAATCTAAATATTTAAGTACGGTTTCCATATAATATTAATGATGCAGCAGGGAAAACAAACGAATTAAAATTTAAATAATATAAACTGCATGTATATTTTATTGCAAGTGTTTTAGTCACGAATGCAATAATAAATATAAGCATTAATAAATTATATTCTAAGTAATTACATGCATGATGCATGTAACCGTCTAAGCAATTTTAGTTGGTTTTGCCTTTAATTAATGAACCCGTTCGTGGCACACTCGAAAAAATATGATAGCGATAAAAACTAAATCGAACATGCATACATAAAAATAATAACTAATACAAAATGGCCGGGGTAACGAGAAAAAAAGCACATCAAAAGCTGCAATCCAATATTAAATCCAAACAACAACATCGCAACAAAAAAAAACGTAGACGCAGACACAGAAAACATGAATAAAAAATATTGTTAATTTCCATAAAATGATTTGTTTGTTCCATTTTTTTCCGGGATACGGGAAATATATTTTGTCCGCATTAATTTTGCTGCCTCAAATCAAAAAGTAACGATTTTCATTTAGAACGAGGTATTTTATTCAGTGTGTATATGTGCGATATATGGATGTGGATGCTTTTTTCTACTTTGTTTTTGAGTTTTTGAATTTATTACCGCATTAAATGGATACCATGCGAGTTTATATACTGATTCAAGAAATTAATGCAAAATCCGGGATAGTTCATGATATAGCATGAATTTTAAACTTCAAATTAAAAAATATATTACTACAACGGTAAATAAGCCTTTCTTTGATATATTGCGATAGAACATATACATTTATTACATACAGACTAAAACAAATATTAATTACAATTTGCTTTTAAAAATAACAAAACTACATCACTATATTTTTAATTTTCTACATCACAACAAATAATTTCTTCATTAAAAGCATAATCAAGATAATTATTTAAAAAACCGGTCAATATAGTATAAAGTTCTTGCAAGATAATATATATATAATTAATATGAATCATATTAATTATTATTATTAATTTTATTTATTAAAAGAAAAACTATCCTTCTTTTGACATATTTATAATGAACCTTTCCATTTAATCATTGATCTATTTAATAATCATAGGCATGTAATTCTTAGTTATTAGCAATATTGGATTAGCAATTCATTAAAAAAGCAGCAGCTGCATTAAAGGTAATGTTAATAAATGTTGTGACATAGAAAATAAGTAATTAAGTATTAAGTTTTTTGTTAACGTGTATATGATAAAAATATTCTATAAATAAATTATTGTGTTATTTATGGATTTCTGTTTTAGAAATACCTTCTTAGCAGGTTAATGAGAATGCATTTAAAATAATGTATTTATAATTATAAAATGTTATGCAGAGTTATTATTACGTTTTCAGTTTAACATAAAATATACCATTATATTACCATTTTTATTTTTTTTACCTCACACTTTGAGGGCCTATCAAATCTTAACAATCGTTTCTGCATACGGCGGGACAAACACTAAACAATTGTTCCCCCAACTGCTATAAAATGTATAATATATGAACAATATTTTTTCTCGTTGCCAGAGTCTACGTCTTTTTTCCGTCGCTGTTGGATATACTTTTAAAATATGAGAGCGTCATATATCGAAAATATTATGGCCTTATTTATGGACGAAGTCTGAGAACTCCGCTCGAAAACAACACAATAAAAACTATTAACAACAGCACAACAAACATAAAGCAAACGAGAAAACTTATCTAATAACTAATTCCAGAATTTTTCAACTCGAAACGCCCTAAAATTAAATTAAATAACTGAAATAATAACATAAGTCTTCAGACTGGGTCAAATGGTAGATTTAATGGAAATTTGTTAAAACTTTAAAACCCTTCCTTCGATAAATTGCTCTCGTTTTTTACACAAATGGTTTTCAGAAAAACGCTGTTTTCTGCACAATATTTTATATGTATATTATATGTATATACAGGGTGGTCCAGGTTATAGTAGCAATAATTCACCATTCGATAGTCCATCAAAAAATAAGTCGACACGCATGGTAATTTTTTTCTCCAAAACCCCTCCTAAGGGAGATACAGCCCTTCAAAGTTGAGTTTTAAAAATCTTTTTTTTGCCATAACTCTCAGGAAATAAAAGCGTTTTTGACCAAATTTAGTACAAGTACTTATGAAATAGGTACTCGTTACCTGACGTACGTAACTTTTGTCAAAATTGTCCAGTGACGTAGATACAGGGGGGTTGTTTCACTTTTTCCACCCCATTTTTTACGCCACTGGATATTGGTTTAAATTGACCTATTTTTCGAATTCCTTGTTCAATTTTGAGAAAAAAAGCATTTTTGTCAAATTTTGATTTAAGGCTTTGTTTACGAGATAATTGAGTTTAAAAAAAACATACAGTACTGCAAAGTTCAGTTTTAAATATAAATTGGGAAAACGCCTTTGATATTCTTGAACTGCTTGCAACGCGTTCCCATCACAAAATCCATAAATGAAGTGAATATCGGCGTATTCTTGGTTCGTGAATCGAAAAGGCATATTTATGATTACAGGATACTTGTATTAACTCTAAAATATCTTAACAGACTGTAAAAAATAATAGAAAACCTTTATTAACACTCTGACAGATATTTCAGTTGTTTAAGACTGACAGTTCATACTAGAGTGGGGCCGCCCTAATTTTATTGGATAAAGCGCATCAGGCCACTTGATAATTTTAAATAAAAATACGTCAAGTGTTGATTACCTATTTTAAATACCTATACCAAATTTAATTAAATATTCTTAAACGATATGAGAGTTATAACAAAAAGATAAATCCTAAAATTGAATTTTGAAGGGCTTTATTTCTTTTCTGAGGAAGTTTTGAAGAAAATAAAACAATGCATGTCGAGTTATTTTTCAGTGAAATCTTGGGCGGAAAAAGTGAAAAAACCCCTGTATGTACGCCAATGGACAATTTTGACAAAAGTTACTTGGGTCAAGTATCTACTTCATAAGTACTTGTATCAAAGTTGGTGAAAAACGCTTTAGCGAGAGTTAGAGTTATGAAAAAAAAAAGATACTTAAAACTGAACTTTGCAGGACTGTATGTTTTTTTAAACCTAATTATCTCGTAAACAAAGCCTTAAATCAAAATTTGACAAAAGTGGCTTTTTTTCTCAAAATTGAACAAGGAATTAGAAAAATAGGTCAATTTAAACCAATATCCAGTGGCGTAAAAAATGGGGTGGAAAAAGTGAAACAACCCCCCTGTATCTACGTCACTGGACAATTTTGACAAAAGTTACTTACGTCAGATAAGGAGTACTTATTTCATAAGTACTTGTACCAAATTTGGTCAAAAACGCTTTTGTTTCCTGAGAGTTATGACAAAAAAAAGATTTTTAAAACTCAACTTTGAAGGGCTGTATCTCCCTTAGGAGGGGTTTTGGAGAAAAAAATTACCATGCATGTCGACTTATTTTTCGATGGACTATCGAATGGTGAATTATTGCTACTATAACCTGGACCACCCTGTATATAATTTATACAGTTAAAATAAGCGGTGTTAATAAGTAAGTGTTAAAAGTATACTAAAAATAGTAATGGATAGTTATAAATCTAGTGCTTAAATTCGCTCTGGAAAATATGACCTTGGTTTTTGTTTTTTATTAAAAGTAAATAAAGGGTTTTAAATGCTTCAGTTTAGTTTTGAATTTAATTTGTTTCAGGTACAGTCAGAGAAAATAGTTATGCTGCGGTTTAAACTTAAATTTAGGACATTGTTTATACAGTTTTTGGCCATTTTAGACAGTTTTAATACAGTTTGGTACATTTTTGATTTTTTATAGATATTTTTGTTAGTTTTGGCTCATTTAAGACAGTTTGAGGATATTTTGAGACAGTTATAATCAGTTTAGACAGCTTTAATATTTTTAGAAAGTTATAATCAGTTTAGACAGCTTTAATATAGTTCATTTAAGAAAGTTTTTGACAAAAAAAATATGTTTGGCTTATTTTAAAATTGAGCATTTTTTAGACTGTTTTAATATAAAAGGGACCTAAGCGTCATAGCCCAAATTTTAAAGGAGAAAGAAAAGGCGCCGCTATAGACGAAGAATGTTTAAAATGTTACGTGCAAAATATTTTAGGAACATTATTTCTGACATCATATACTTAAAGAGCACTCCTTCCTTGGAGTGGCTTAGTTAAGTTAAGATTTTAGCCCTGGGTAAAGTGCATTACTATTTTCTCCGAGTGTAGACATCAACTTTAGCCCTAGAGAAGTGCGAGAATAAAACTTTTGCAAAACCATTAAAACCATAAAAATGTATTATGGAAAGCAATTGAAGGTTGGTTTGTTCACAAAAAACTAATTCAAGATGGCGGATTACCTTTTTCTTTACAACTTGACTTGGATATCTAATGAAAGGGTTTAAGGAGTAGAACACGTTAAGGTGAGTCAAACTAAATCCAATATGGCGGCCGCTCTAATATGGCGTATTACATATTTCTTTACAACCTCATTGACATGGGTATCAAAGGAAAGGGTTTTTTTAGCAGAATACATGACGTTAATCTAATTCTAATCTGGCGA